ATATTATATACCACGGACACCCCACAACATGATAGGCCGAAAGTCCTAAAACATCGCGAGTAGACACCACTATGAGATTTCCCCACCGAGCACATCACAAAGACATCAATTGGACTCGACACCAAAGAAAACTGTCCTCTCGCTCACCTATTACTATACACCGTTAACCACTGAGACCACACGGCATTATTTCTAAACCGCCACCAAAGGCGAATTCGTAGCACGAGGCAAGAAACACCGCGTGGGCGCACTCCATCGCTGCAACAACACAAAAAGGGCATTAACTGAAAGCATTCACACGCCGCATTGAAACGACGAAGGTCACCAACATTTGTATCGTGGCAGTGTGGCACGGCAACTCCTCCCTCTCGTCTCTTATGCAAGCAAGGAGGAGGCCCTTCTTTGTCGTCTCGCTTTGTGTTTTTCTCCAAGTGTCCGGCATTAGCTCATACTGGCTCCACGACTGTAATCTTCGCGAAGATTACTAGTCAAGGGTGGTAACCCAGCCTAAACCTAGTCAAGGGTGGTAACCCAGTCTAAACCTAGTCAAGGGTGGTAACCCAGCCTAGACCTAGTCAAGGGTGGTATAGTCAAGGGTGGTAACCCAGCCTAAACCTAGTCAAGGGTGGTAACCCAGTCTAAACCTAGTCAAGGGTGGTAACCCAGCCTAGACCTAGTCAAGGGTGGTAACCCGGCCTAAACCTAGTCAAGGGTGGTAACCCAGCCTAAACCTAGTCAAGGGTGGTAACCCAGTCTAAACCTAGTCAAGCGTGGTAACCCAGTCTAAACCTAGTCAAGGGTGGTAACCCAGCCTAGACCTAGTCAAGGGTGGTAACTCAGCCTAAACCTAGCCAAGGGTGGTAACCCAGCCTAAACCTAGCCAAGGGTGGTAACCCAGCCTAAACCTAGTCAAGGGTGGTAACCCAGCCTAAACCTAGTCAAGGGTGGTAACCCAGTCTAGACCTAGCCAAGGGTGGTAACCCAGTCTAGACCTAGCCAAGCGTGGTAACCCAGTCTAAACCTAGTCAAGGGTGGTAACCCAGTCTAAACCTAGTCAAGGGTGGTAACTCAGTCTAAACCTAGTCAAGGGTGGTAACTCAGTCTAAACCTAGTCAAGGGTGGTAACCCAGTCTAAACCTAGCCAAGGGTGGTAACCCAGTCTAAACCTAGCCAAGGGTGGTAACCCAGTCTAAACCTAGCCAAGGGTGGTAACCCAGTCTAATCCTAGCCAAGAGTGGTAACCCAGTCTAATCCTAGCCAAGGGTGGTAACCCAGTCTAAACCTAGCCAAGGGTGGTAACCCAGTCTAAACCTAGCCAAGGGTGGTAACCCAGTCGAATCCTAGCCAAGGGTGGTAACCCAGTCTAAACCTAGCCAAGGGTGGTAACCCAGTCGAATCCTAGCCAAGGGTGGTAACCCAGTCTAAACCTAGCCAAGGGTGGTAACCCAGTCGAATCCTAGCCAAGGGTGGTAACCCAGTCTAATCCTAGCCAAGGGTGGTAACCCAGTCTAAACCTAGCCAAGGGTGGTAACCCAGCCTAATCCTAGCCAAGGGTGGTAACCCAGCCTAATCCTAGCCAAGGGTGGTAACCCAGTCTAAACCTAGCCAAGGGTGGTAACCCAGTCTAAACCTAGCCAAGGGTGGTAACCCAGCCTAGACCTAGTCAAGGGTGGTAACCCAGCCTAAACCTAGCCAAGCGTGGTAACCCAGCCTAAACCTAGTCAAGGGTGGTAACCCAGTCTAATCCTAGCCAAGGGTGGCAACCCAGTCTAAACCTAGCCAAGGGTGGTAACCCAGTCGAATCCTAGCCAAGGGTGGTAACCCAGTCGAATCCTAGCCAAGCGTGGTAACCCAGTCTAAACCTAGTCAAGGGTGGTAACCCAGTCTAAACCTAGTCAAGGGTGGTAACCCAGTCTAAACCTAGTCAAGGGTGGTAACTCAGTCTAAACCTAGCCAAGGGTGGTAACCCAGTCTAAACCTAGCCAAGGGTGGTAACCCAGTCTAAACCTAGCCAAGGGTGGTAACCCAGTCTAAACCTAGCCAAGGGTGGTAACCCAGTCGAATCCTAGCCAAGCGTGGTAACCCAGTCTAAACCTAGTCAAGGGTGGTAACCTAGTCTAAACCTAGTCAAGGGTGGTAACCCAGTCTAAACCTAGTCAAGGGTGGTAACTCAGTCTAAACCTAGCCAAGGGTGGTAACCCAGTCTAAACCTAGCCAAGGGTGGTAACCCAGTATAAACCTAGCCAAGGGTGGCAACCCAGTCTAAACCTAGCCAAGGGTGGTAACCCAGTCTAAACCTAGACAAGGGTGGTAACCCAGTCTAAACCTAGTCAAGGGACACCAATCCACAGCTGGATGAGAGGTTTCCCCACTCCCTGCACTCGTTCCCCGATGTGCTACGGAACGCATAGTGCAAACCGAACACGGTAATGTGATTACATTTAGTAGTAGTGGTGGTAGTAGTAACCACGACTACAGCGGTGGAGGAAGTTGTTACTCAACCACTTTGGCGGGAGCGAAATGCAAAATCGGCGCCTTCGCAAAACGTTCACGGTTCGGGGTCGAGCGGCGGCCCCGGCGAATATGACTTCGTGATCATTTTAGGCCAAAAGATGTCCAACTTTATTAACGGCGGCGATAGCGATTGTTAACAATTGTACCCACAGCGTCTTTCTTGCACAGATGTGGTGGTGACACCCACTACACCAACCAACCACCTACCCCCCCACTATCTCGGTATCTTTAGAGTTCTCGTCTGGTTAAAAGAAAACGGCAAATCTCACAAACTGCCATTTCTTTTTCGATGCGTTAAGAGAATATAAATCGGAAACACTTGAAATTTCAATATCGCTCGCTGGCAGAACTCCAAAGTGAAGTTCTAAAAATTTATTTAAAACAAAACCACACTACCGTTTAAAGTTTAAATCTCCTGTTCAGGCCGTGTCCCACAATGAAACGACAAGTTATATATTTTATATTGGTTTTCACACCTGATAGTGATTGCTTGTGTTGCAATCGAAGCGTCGTGAGAATTTTATTGTTTAATTTGTTTTATTTTATTAATTTTCCTTTCTACGTTACTTTACCGAAAGAACCAAGAATATGAATCCCTGCAGTCACGAAAGCTTTAAATCGAAATTTAAGTTATATATTGTTATAATATCCAGTAAATCTAATGGAAAATAAAAAAAAATCATTCTCAGACACACACACAAGTGTTTAGCGCGCACACACCCTGTAACAAAGACAAAGAACCCCCGTATAGCCTCAATAAACTGCCGGGGAAAGTGCTGTTAGCAAGCAGTGCTAAAACCACGCCCGAGCCCGCCTTTGTCTCCTCCCGTGGCGATGTTTACACGACACACACCACACCAGGTACTCATTTGAGGCCGAGTCGACCTAGGGGTTGTTGGTGGTGGCCGTGTGAGCGGGAATCGAACTGCGGGGGTGGCCGAGTTCTTAGCGCAGCAGCAGCGCTAACCACTGGCCCACCGCTCCCCCGGCACTATCGTGGGGCTTGGCAAAGATCCCCCGTGTAGCCTCTAACTATTGGGGGCAAGCACTGTTAGCGAGTATCACCTATAAAGGCCGGCTTAGTGCACACACACAGACACATACACAGACATACACAGCCAAAGATCCCCCATATAGCCTTAACAGACTGCTGGGGCAAGTGCTGTTAGCGAGCACCTATGAAGGCCGGCACGGCACACGAGGGGGTGGGTGGCCAGCACCACGCCCGACCGCCTTCGTCTCCCCAGTGGCAATGTTTTTATCCACCGCACCAGGTACTCATTTGAGGCTGAGTCGACCTAGGGGAGGCCAAGGACCGGTTCAGAAAATCGTCACTGGTGTTGGCCGTGAGCGGGAATCTAACCCGGGTCGCCAGGTTCATAGCGCAGCGTAGCGCGAACCGCTACACCACCGCTCCCCACAGTACACAGACACACACAGAGACGCACACACAGACACACACAGAGACGCACACAGAGACACAGAGAGACACAGACACAGAGACACAGACAGACACAGACAGACACACAGACACACACTACGACTACTACAGCACCAGCGTATCGTCCTTGCACTCATCCTGCCACCTTCCAGATCATTCCCCTCTGGCCCAGCCCTCCGTGTCTCGTCTCCACTACCCAACGCAGCCCTATAGCAATTACAACCACGACTATTGTTGTTATCATGACGACGACGAGGATAACCTCATCTTGCAAACCTCCTCAGCTACGCCCTGAGGCTGCCGCGCGTCATGGCGGGGCCGCCGTCTCTACCCCGAGGGGCGGCGGGCGGCGTCGATTTATTGCCGGGGTCCATTTCCTCCTCCTCCCACCACCACCACACATCGCCTCCCCCCCCACTCACTCCTTACTACATCTTCCTGCACATTTGCGTCCCAATGTCGTTCTCCTTGCTCCTCTCCCACGCCCCCCCCCCCACCAACGCAATCTCCACTTTTCCCGCCATACTTCACCACCACCCACGTTAATCGCTCCGCAATCTATCCCTTCCCCCGCCATCTCCACCCCATGCATCTCCAACACCACCACCCCCCCACCCCCCGCGTTCTCCTCCATCTTCCCCCGCATTGTAGACACCTCAGACCCAACCCCGGCGATACCGCAATCTCCAGCGTGCCGTGGTGGAAGCGCCTCTGGGCGTAGCCGAAGCACCGCCACCTCCCCCACACCCCTGTCAAATGTCTCACCCCACACACCCCTACACCATCACATCTCTCTCGCCGCGTCTCTTAATCTCCCCTGGGCGTCGCCTCACCACCCCGCGTATCTTCAACAACCACCACCATCACCCCCTTACACACAAAAACCCCCCCCCCAATCACTCATCCACACTGCATCATCCCTCGTGCGATCTTTCCGCTTAACCGTGGCGGCAGGGGGTTGCGATGCCAATCTCCCTCTCTCCCCCCTGGCATCTTCTCCCGTGGCGTGGGGAGGGGAGAGGGGAGAGGGGAAGCATCGCCTCACCGTGATGTTTCGCAGGTAGCTGCCCGGGTGATGCGCCCACACAGTCTTCGATTCCAGTCCCACAATGACGGCGTCCTTCTCCATGCCGCTCACCATCAGCCTCCCGATGTAGCCGTCCCAAGACATGATTTGACGGGCGGGGTTGTGCGGTCGAGCGTGCGTGTCGGGCTTCCTGCGCGCGAGGGGGGGGTTGCTTTTTTTGGCTGTTGTTTTTAATTGATGGCGCCGCGTCCCCTACAACAACGACGACGAAGCAGCAGCAACAAGAGTAAGCCGCGTGCGGGGAAAGCGAAATGGCGGGGCCGTCCCCGCCCTTCTTTATATATCCGCAGGCCACGCCCGCGGAGCACAAACGCGGCACCCCATTGGCTCGCGCACACCGCCAATGGCACCGCCCGATGCTCTCGTGGGAGGAGCGCGGCAGGGTGCGATTACGCGGGACTCGCCGATTGGCCGCGGGGCGCTTCACCTAACGCTATAATTATGCGCGGTCCCGTTATGTTAACGAGGCTCGGTGCATATATTATGCTAATGTTCCTTCAGATTACCACGGGTTGCCTACGCACGGTGCGAAAGAAGTTCAACATGCGTACATAGACTCACACAGAGACCAACAGACTCACACAGAGACCCATAGACTCACACAGAGACCCATAGACTCACACAGAGACCCATAGACTCACACAGAGACCCACAGACTCACACAGAGACCCATAGACTCACACAGAGACCCACAGACTCACACAGAGACCCATAGACTCACACAGAGACCCACAGACTCACACAGAGACCCACAGACTCACACAGAGACCCATAGACTCACACAGGGACCCACAGACTCACACAGAGACCCACAGACTCACACAGGGACCCATAGGCTCACACAGAGACCCATCGACACTCACACAGAGACCAACAGACTCACACAGAGACCTATAGACTCACACAGAGACCCATAGACACTCACACAGAGACCCATAGACTTACACAGAGACCCACAGACTCACACAGAGACCCATAGACTCACACAGAGACCCATAGACTCACACAGAGACCCACAGACTCACACAGGGACCCATAGGCTCACACAGAGACCCATCGACACTCACACAGAGACCAACAGACTCACACAGGGACCCACAGACTCACACAGAGACCCATAGACACTCACACAGAGACCCATAGACTCACACAGAGACCCACAGACTCACACAGAGACCCATAGACTCACACAGAGACCCATAGACTCACACAGAGACCCACAGACTCACACAGAGACCCATAGACTCACACAGAGGCCCATAGACTCACACAGAAACCCACAGACTCACACAGAGACCCATAGACTCACACAGAGACCCATAGATTCACACAGCGACCCACAGACTCACACAGAGACCCATAGACTCACACAGAGGCCCATAGACTCACACAGAGACCCACAGACTCACACAGAGACCCATAGACTCACACAGAGACCCATAGACTCACACAGCGACCCACAGACTCACACAGAGACCCACAGACTCACACAGAGACCCATAGACTCACACAGAGACCCATAGACTCACACAGAGACCCACAGACTCACACAGAGACCCACAGATTCACACAGAGACCCATAGACTCACACAGAGACCCATCGACACTCACACAGAGACCCATAGGCTCACACAGAGACCCATCGACACTCACACAGAGACCCATAGACTCACAGAGACCCATAGACACTCACACAGAGACCCACAGACTTACACAGAGACTCAGACACTCGCACAGAGACCCATAGACACTCACACAGAGACCCATAGACACTCACACAGAGACCCACAGACTCACACAGAGACCCATAGACACTCACACAGAGACCCACAGACTCACACAGAGACCCATAGACACTCACACAGAGACCCACAGACTCACACAGAGACCCATAGACACTCACACAGAGACCCATAGACACTCACACAGAGACCCATAGACACTCACACAGAGACCCATAGACACTCACACAGAGACACACAGACTCACACAGAAACCCATAGACACTCACACAGAGACCCATAGACACTCACAGAGACCCACAGACTCACACAGAGACCCATAGACACTCACACAGAGACCCACAGACTTGCACAGAGACACATAGTTGGTTGTCCTTCCCACGCACCTTTGAATTAGCACGGTTGGCTACGTACGGTGGGAAAGAAGTTCAACACGCACACTGCACGGCAAACAGTCCCTTGTCACGATTTAAAGCTTTGGTGACTGCAGGAATTCAAGTTACGTAGATAGAAAACAACAGATTACGAAGTTTCGATCGCAACACAAGCAATCACCTGAAGACGATTGCTTGTGTTGTGATCGAAGCGTCGTAATCTATTTTTTTTTACCTACGTGACGTTACCGAAAGAACCAAAGAGTATGGATTAGTGCAGTCACGAAAACTTCAAATCAAGACTATACAACAGGGTGTTTCAAAAAGATGCTTTGAAATCTGGTCCATCGTTTTTAAAACACCCTGTATCGACAACTGTGCATTGACCGTCTACGCCCCAACATGCCTCACTCCGTCCAGCCCCAGGGCTCTGAAATTGCTCTTACGCCACACCGGTAGTCGCACGGAGTCATTTCACCGTCACTTCACCTTCGTGTTTGTCTGCTAAATTTTCCTTTTCTTGCAAGACATTAAAAGCCCCCCCCCCCCCCCCCCAAAAAAAAAGGTCATCATATTATCTGTCTCTCCGCAACAACAATAAAAACACATTGGGCTTCTTAGACAACCCATCTGCAGTACCCATTGCACTCTGGGAGGGCGTAAAGATTTTTTTTATTTTATGATTCTCGTTTGCACGGTTTTGTTTGCCGCATTAGCCCTAAATGCATGATGACACACATTTGCATATTATTTGACATGCATTGTAAATGCCCCACAGTGGCATTACCGCTGCTGTGTAGGACGTAGCGGTTGTACCGTGCAGTTCTCTCCGTGTGCGCTTGCTGGTTGTGACGCTACGTATCGTTTGGCACGATGTCCGACGTTTCTCTCCGAGTACTGGGAGCTTCTTCAAACACATCGGGGCACGGGAGCGATCCTATTATCCGCAAAAAACAAAACGCGGCTGGGATAAATCCACGTTGTGGGTATGTCGCATTATTTGCGGATACAATTGGGGCCCCATATTAAAAGGAGTTGCGGATAATAGGATCGTGGATATAGAGGCGTTTCACGACACCTGAGTCTTACACGCATTTTATTTTATATCTACGTGACTTTACCGAAAGAACCAAAGAGTATATATTTCTCCAACACGTAGGCTTTCGCGACCAATATTATTCTCAATCAAGGTTTCTGGATTAGATCGGGGGATTTGCCAGAAAGCGCCCGATGATGCTGGCTGATGTAATCACCAGCGAAACGTCGTACTAGTCAAACTGTAAAATGTTGTGGATTCAACTCTCCAACACACCGGTGGGCTGAAGTAGTTACTAACAGGGCGCGTTTTATTTACGTGACAAATCCCCTTACTAATTGGCTGTGTCGGGGTGGTGGAGGGTTACGACACGACATTTATGCTTACCCGATCTAACCCAAAAAAAAACCCTTTGATATGAATAAAAGTCTTCCTTCGTGTTGTGTATCGGCTTGCCAGTGAACATTGCAAGTTGGGCCAACGGATTTCGAACCACATGCCAACGTCGAACGCATCGTTTTTCCATGCAATCAGCCCCCCCCCCCCCCCCCCCCGAAACTGCCATCATTTTTACAGTCACATTTGCCGCTGGGATTGCTAGTTTCTCCTGAAACGTTGAAGGGTGATCCCTCTGTTGCGAACGGGAGGTGAAAAATGCTCATCGCGGCTCAATCATCGCCCAATTAAACATGAGCTACGATCGCTGTGTGTCAAGCCAATCAAGACACGACATGATATGCTTTGCCAGACACTCTCCAAACGCCACGAGTAGCGAAGGCCCGTGTTTCCACGACACGCTGAACTCTGAACTTCCGATGTCACCAAATTGCTCTGCTGCTCCCAAGCGTTTGAAATGTAAACTGCTGTCAAACATTAAACCAAAGTGTGCCATTGCTGGCGAGATCGAGCCGGACGGATTCGCATTATTTACGTCGTGTGTGTATCATTCCGCCGCAGGCAGTGGTGCCAGCCTTTGCTTCACTCGATTCAAAAGGTTTGAAACGAAGCTACAAGTGTCCGAAAATAAACCCCGCCTCTGTCTACCCAACAGTATACATAGTAAGTTGAACAAGTAGTCAGCTTTCGCGAACAATATCATCCATTGGAGGTTTTTTTTTGTTGGGTTAGATCGCGTAAATTATATAAATGTGTGTCGCTAAACCCGCCACCACCCGACACAGCCAATTGGTAAGGTTTGTCGCGGAAAACAGGTGGACTTCTCCACAAATCTGGCTGTCGCCTGATGAAGCTGGTTGTAATTACTGGCGAAACGTCGTACTCAGTTTGTAAATTTCGATTTAAAGCTTTCGTGACTGCAAGGATTCATCTTCTTTGGTTCTTTCGGTAAAGTCACGTAGAATGAGAATAAAATAATAAATTGATAAAATAAAATAACACAATAAAATTCTCACGACGTTTCGGCCACAACCCAGCGCTATCAATTTATTATTTTATTCTCATTCTACGTGACTTTACCGAAAGAACCAAAGAAGATAAAAACAGTTTGTAAATGTTGTGGCCTGGCTCTCCAACACACAACCGGTGTAGTGCTGTACTAGTACACTACACTATACACTACACTATACACTACACTATACACTACACTATACACTAGTGCTGTACTAGTGACGAATTGGCCACGTCCTGTTTACGCGACAAACCTTACTAGTTGGCTGTGGCGGGTTTAACGACACATTTATGTATTTACGCGATCTAACCCCCCAAAAAAGCCTCCATTATAGTATACAGTAAACAGGAACACCGCAACGTACACTGACAAACGTGGTGAAGTTTGGTAAAACACCCCCCCCTCCCGTCACCCTGTGACTGATTACAGCATGGGAAGACCCTTATCCAGTCGACTGACAAAGGCGGTGTCAATGATCAATTATTTACTGCCATAAAATGTGGCCAGTATTTCAAAGCATCGCAGAAGGCTTTGGCATCGCTGCCACGATTAGACGGTGCTAATTGCTGTGAACCCTGGGAGAATTAACGCCGTTTAACGGGCTACAGTGTCAGGGGCAAAGCAACTAATTGCTGGCTAATGTAAAATTGTATATGGCGTGTTAAAACGAGTGCCTTCGTCACGCCTAATC